CTTAGAGAGGGCTGAAAGCCCTATGAAGCGGTATATAAGTCTACTGCTATTGCTATTGCTATTGCTAATGGGGCTCAAAGTTGACTCAGCCTTCAGTAAAATGAGGACCTAGATTGCTGGAGGCAATAGGGTGTCATTTTAAACTGTAAGCGCTATTGCTATCTACTTCACTATGCAGCTCTGGCCAAGTTGCCCTAGAGAGCAACTTGTCACTCTTCACATCTGATACGCTTTAAAAGTTACTTTAAAAAAAATATTGGTCACTGCCTGGAATTCATATGCAAATACCTTGAGTTTGGGTAACCGCTTGATGGTCTTCAGAGGTCTCAGAACACGTAGAACACGAAGAGACTTGATTGTTTTAATGTCACGGCCTTTGTTGGACCTGTACATAAACAAGCCACCCAAAATATTGAGACACAACTATAAAAACAAAAACGAACTTTTTAAACGGAAGCTAAACTCACTGTATTTTTTGCCATAGTAAACATTACTTTTTTTGCATAGACAGTGAGAAGCATGGGCCGCATTGTTAGCTTTTTGAAGCCTGATGAATTTGAACTATTGAGTGGAGTTTAAAAAAAATATATCTCTGAACATTAAAAAGTGTGTTGTGTCTTTAGGTGAGAGCAAAAGAGAGTGTAAGCCCGGGAGAATTCCCTTTTCATTTGAATAGACTGATGATTTCAAATCCTATTATCGTGAGAAAGTGTGTGCTAACAAGGTTAACACAGGTGATTTCACACTCTTGCTGAGCTGAGCCATCTGTTGTGAGGCACCATGCCACTATGAATCATACATTCATGTACCTGGTGAATCCCAGCAATCATCCCGCTCTGTTTTCATCCAAAGGTGACAGTGAAATACCTCTTTTCCTGGGATGGTTCTACTATTGGATTAAACTGTAGCAATGTACCATTCATACACAAGTAAATATGTGCGTGCATATAGTGTATTGATTAGCAGAAGTACATGATACCATAACTGAATTGAAAGAATTTTTTTATACCCTGCAAATAAAAGGTTGTCATATCCTCAGTCAAATTATTAAGAAAAAGATCTTCATTAGTCATTAATCAGCATCTAGGAAGAACTGAAAAATTGATTGAAGCCTGAAAGATGAACTTCAGGAAGTACATGAAAAGAATTCCCGTGTGTCCTCCTATACTCATCTAAAGAATTCAGTAGGACTAGTAGCATCAAGAAATGCTCCGGAGGTATCGTTTTAGATTCAAGGAAAAAGTAGGGACAAGAAACTTTTACTTGTGTATTATCCCTTACATTCATGTTTTAGGTTTAGGTTTATTGAATTTATATGCCGCCCTTCTGCCAAGGACTCAGAGTGGCGTACAACATTTTAAAAAAAACACATATTACAAAAATTTAAAAGAATTAAATAGATATCAAGTGTTAAAATTAGGGACACAGTGGCTCAGTGGCTAAGAAGCTGAGCTTGTCGATCCGAAAGATTGGCAGTTCGGCAGTTCGAATCCTTATTGCCGCATAACGGAGTGAGCTCCCATTACTTGTCCCAGCTTCTGCTAACCTAGNGCCCTGAGTCCCCTTCGGGGGAAAAGGGCAGCATATAAATAAAATCAACATTCAACATACATTCAACAACATTCATACTCACTGAGGCCATCCTTCTCCAGTGGAAACCGTGAAGAGCGTAAGCAGAGCCCAGATGATATTATCATAGTGGAATTCATGGCGTTTCCATTCTCGACATTTTACTTCCATTGTGTTTCTCTCATGGTCTATATAGTTTCCACTATAGTATAAAAGTGGCAGAGAATAAAAGGCTTTTGTTACACTGTCACAATAAGGAGGGTGGGGAAAAAAGGCTTAAAATGTAGTTCCAAGGGATACAAAATACAATCCCTAGGATGGAAGAGAAGCATTGATCATGGGAATCCAGTTTTCCCATATCTTTCCTTCTGATATCACTGGCTCTGACGCTAGAAATTAGCTTGACTGGATGGGAGAAGCAAGGCAGAATTTAGAATAAGAGATAACAGGTATTGACCTACCTCGTGACCCGTCAAATGCGCGCCCGACAAAAGCCCGCCGACAAAACTGTGGCGAGAAAACCGCGAGGTCGAAAGCGCTCCCACAAAAGAGCGCCGACAAAACCGCACCCACAAAAGCGCGATTAGAGTTAAGGTAAGAGTTAGGGTTAGCTTTAGGGTTAGGTTTAGGTTTAGGGTTATTACGTTGTTATTACGTTGTTTTCACGTTGTTTTCATGTTGTTTCTTAATGGCGCGCTTTCGTCGGTGCGCGTTTGTTGGCGCGCTTCTGTGGGCGCGATTTCAACCTCGCGGTTTTCTCACTACAGTTTTGTCGGCGCGCTTTTGTGAGGTGTGCATCTGTCGGTGAACCGACTTACCTACTGTTGTATCTTCATGCCCCCTAAACTTACTTTTTTCTCTTTCTAAATGATCATCATAAAATGTAAGGAAGGATTAAATACAGATAGAAACCAAAGGGTCAAGAACATTAAGAAGTTTCTTAGAGTAATTAAAAATAGGGACTTAAGCTCATGTTTCTCTCTAAAGATTTACCATATAATTTTCTGTTGTGGCCCAGCAGGAGCCGTTGGAGCTGCAAACAGACTCTGACAGTGAGAGGCCTTATGAGTTGGATCTGGAAGAGGTGGAGGACCCTGGACAGGGTTCTGACTCCGAGCAGGGCACAGAGAGGCTGGTTGGCCATCAGCAGGCGCCTGAGGCATGGAGCAGCAGTGAGAGGGAGTGTGCTCATGACGTCAGGCCTTGGGGTAGTGACGAGAGGACAAGGGAGGTGATCCTGGGTGCCAGGCAACCCCGGGCAGATCGACGGAGAAAACAGCTGCGCAGTTACAAAAGATAATTGGACCCAGCTGGTTGTAATTAGGCTCCTCTCAAGATTGTATTTAAGGAGGGACTCGGGGAGGTGTCTGATTTGCAGGATTCAATTTCATTCTTAACGCTGGAGAAGCTGCTATCTGTCTCTGTTGAAGTCTGAGTTGCTGCCAAGGTTCTTATCTATT